CCATAGTTTGCTTTTAACATAATAAATGCATTTAAGTACAGTTGAGCTGTATTACTGAGTGTTGATGATGTTTTTATAACAAGTTAATTAAAAACATCTCAATGTTCAACATGTACATATTTTATACGCCGAATGTTAATATGGATCATAACACAACACAGATCCAAATCCACAGACTACTACTAATGATTTATATAATAGTATAGTGTTTTTTTAACTTGCAAATACAAATATTACACCTAAATTTATTAATAAATACATAACTCTGATAAAAATCTTGTTTCCCTACAAAATCAACACTTTTTTCTGCTGATACACTAAATAAAATAAATATTTGAATGTAACTTAAAATTTCTGCTTTTCTTCTAAATACAAACGTGTTAAGGTGAAGTTGATAGTACTTTTTTTACTTACGCCTTTTACCCCTCGTCGAGGAGCATAGGCCGCTCACCAGCATTCTCCATCCAACTCTGTCCTGAGCCTTTCTTTCCAGTTTTTTCCAGTTGTTATTCATCCTTTTCATATCTGCTTTTATTTCCCAACGTAATGTGTTCTTTGGCCTTCCTCTTTTCCGCTTCCCTTCAGGATTCCAAGTTAGGTCTTGCCTCGTGATGTAGTTTGGCGGTTTCCCTAATGCATGTCCGATTAACTTCCAATGTCTTTTCCTAATTTCCTCTTCACCTGGAACCTTGTTTGTCCTTTCCCATAAAAGGCTGTTGCTAATGGCATCCGGCCAGTGAATGTTGAGTATTTTGCGTAGACAACTGTTTATAAATACTTGCATTTTCTGGATGATGGCTTTCATAGTTCTCGAAGTTCCAGCTCCGTACAGTAGGACTGTCTTGGCATTCGTATTGAAGATTCTCACTTTGAAATTAGTTGACAGTTGTTTTGAGTCCCATATGCTCTTCAATTTTGGAAATGCTGTCCTGGCTTTGCCAATCCCAGCCTTTACATCTGCATCCGATCCTCCTTGTTTATCAATGATGCTTCCCAGGTATGTGAAAGATTTCACATTTTCCAGAGTTTCGCCATCAAGTGTGATTGACTTGGTGTTCTCCATTTTGTATTTGAGAATCTTGCTTTTTCGCCTGTGTATGTTGAGGCCTATTGATGCGGAGGCTGCTAATGCTACATTAGTTGTCTTTGTCTGTATTTGTTCGTGTGTATGAGATAGGAAGGCTAGGCCATCTGTGAAGTTCAAATCATCTAATTGGTTTTGAGATGCCCATTGTATTTCGTGCTTCCCGTCACATATCGAGGTCTTCATAATCCAGTCAACCACCAGATCAAAGAGGAAGGGGGAGAGTAGAGAGCCTTGTCTTACTCCGGTCCTCACTTGGAATGCATCTGTCAGCTGTCCTCCTACCACGACTTTGAACTGTAGTCCATCGCATGAGTTCGACAGTAGTTAGTACTATTATTGAAAGCTGTAAGTTACTCTGAAATTACTCTAAGTAACAAAGTTAAATTAGGTGATAAAAACATTAAAAAACCAAAATGGTACTAAATAAGTGTTTAATGGAAGAACCAATCACGTATAAGATAACAAGTATCGGATTTTGGCGCGAAATTCATTCATCCATTTGGCTAAATACAGTTTTGGCATTATAGCTTATGTTAGTTCGTGATGAAAACATTAAATCTAATTCCTAACCGTATCCACCAACTGTAAATCATAATTATAATTCCTCACACAGTTTTATAACCCTAATTTGGTGCTAGTTATTAGGTGTGCACGCTCAAGGTCAGTCTAGAGTTGCTCAGTGGTCGTCCATAACTTATAGTCTCATCCACATTGTTAAAGAACTGAACACTTTACAAAACGTAAAATGAGATAAGGATCAATATTTAACGGTTTTTACAACAAGTACGGTATACTTAGAGCTAGAATCCAAAGATCCAATAAATTTGTAATATAGTACAATCCTTATTTTATTGGCCCTGGAATATCTGACTTCAGTTGGATCGTACGAATGATCGTTATCGAATGATTGCTATCGTAATAAACACATCGCCAATCCTCGCATATAATCATCGTGTTGGTGAATAACGGAATTAAATGAGTCAAATACGAGAATGAATTTCTGAATAAGTATATTTTGTACGCTCATAGATCTGGACAGACAATCAGAGGGAAGAAGCGAGATGAGAGAGAGAGAGGCGAAATGATGTGCAGAGGAGAAGGCGTGTGAGCCGACTCAATTTGATCATGCGTTAACTGACATTTATGGTCGGATAAAAAATAAGTTACGCGCTTGTGATGAATAGGATAAGAAGTGCACACATACGCTTACATAAAAACAGTCAAGGTTGATAAGCGAATAATTCACTAACAAGGTCAAAACGTGACTCAAGAAGAACAAATAGATCGTCATGTCCTGAAGCTAGAATAAGCTATGTGGACTTAACAGAGCATTACATCATTATAATAGGTGAGTTGCTATTTCCCTTTCTACTTGACTGACACTATAGATTAATGGTTTCCCATCACATTAATGGGTGAAATACATCTTAACATTAGACACTAGTTATTAGGCTAAGTGATTTTTTGTAGACTTTGTATTGTTTCATTTCAGTTCGTAGCATCATCTGATATGAACTAAGTGACTGTTGGGAATCAGAAAACACTGTATGAATATCAAACCTTAGTTTACCTACATAACGAAAGATTATTTCTTTGGTTAGAAGGTACGAAGGTGATTTGTTGACTTCCAGAAAAGATGTTCAGGTATTCCTAATAAGGTTAGGTATGAAAACCAACACACAGACTTGGATTTCACGAAAGCGTTAAATCGTGAAATATATATTTGGTACAATTAGCTCTTAGTGGAGTTTTCGGGGATAAGAAATGACAAGGTTTATAATCATTAATCCACTCATCTCTACACATCAAAGTGCGTAGGTCTTAGTATATGCACTGTTATACACTTTCAAATATCCGTGTAACAGGAAACAACCAACAGTAATCCCACCTACAAACAAGTTGTCTACTGTGTCTATGGTATTCCACCTTATGATTTTATGAAAACAATCTATGTTGATGTAGTATATATCAATAGTTCTATTGTGTGCTTCAGTTGAATAGTGAATTGAATAATAAACCTAAACATTATTCACAAAGAATATGATTGTATCATTCATAAAAGGACAACTTTTGGTCTTGGTAGGCTGTTAATTTACTTGTTTATTTACCAAAGTTAAACTCTATTACAAAAACTAAAAGCTATCTCCAACTGACTAACTTCAAACTGTATAAACTAAATTAAACATGTCTGTAGTGATATTGCAATAAACGATTTGAAATGTCATTAAATTATTTGGTTCTGTCATCGTTCTGCAAGTTTTGATTCATAAATATTTTGTTTTCGATAGCAGTAAAATCCCAATGATAGTGATTTATATCCAGAAACAACTCAAGTAGTGTATTTTTAAGAATACATCTAACTGTAAATGTCATTTCTAAAATATTGCTTAAACAATTGGTTGTTATTATGAGGTGATTAAAGTAGGACTTTCGATCATAAGTACCTAGTACATTGTAAAGCCATGAAACATTTTCTCTCACCTTTCTTGATATTATAGATATGTCCTGACGATGAGTGTCATCAAGGACAAAACTTATGAACAGGACACCTTAATGATTCTCCAGAACCAGTAAAAATGAAAGACGGTTCACTGCTTGTCACTAAGAACAGTTACAATGTAATAAACTTGTTTGATAAAATTTGATTAACATCACTGTTGAGTACATATATCTTACTGAGATTCAGTTCCGCAAATCCCCTCACATAGTCCATAGCATTTATTTACTGAATACGTTTTAATTGTGATCACGAATAGTTTCAAACAGTGTAGCACTTTTAAGTCTCATATTGAAGTATAATATTTTTCAGTTTTGAGATGGTGGAGATTTGTAGCTCAGGTGGATGACTTTAGGGGGTTTCGTTATTTGAGTTAAATGGTTTGGTCGTGGAGCTTTCATAGTTCATCTAAAAGACATCATCATCACAAACTTTTCAGTTTGACCGTGATTCTTCAGACACAGAAAAAAAGATGAAAAACTGAAGAAAGCAGAACGAATTTGGGTGGCTTCTTCGTGATAATTAAATACGCTTCACTAGTACACACCCACAAAGTTCACACAAGATTGACTCCATAAACTTCATTTATCATGGTGAGCATAATACCATGTGATTTGCTCAGAATTCAGCGATCTGTGTTTTTACGTGCAATAAGTACGAGGCTCGTTCAATGTTAATGTTGGCTTGCTTAACTCCATTTGTCACAAATCCTAAATAAAACTCAAAGCTAACCAACGTGTAAAAATTATTATAAAATTGATAAATTTTATCCCATCTTATTTATTGATTGAATTGTAGTCTCTAAATTATGGGCGTATCAATTTCCAAACGCAGAATTGTTCTAAACGTCTACTTTCACTCCATTTCGTTAAAGAAATAAAACTTATTTTCCCCATTGGCTTATTCAATATTGACACCACCCTTCAGACCTAAAAAAACAAAAAAAAACAGTTAAGCTGAAACGAAACTAGTTTTTTGTGAAAAATTCAGTATCAATGACGGTCTCTATGATAGGTTAATTCCATTTTCTACTTATATTTGTTTGATAGGAAAGAAAAATGAATTAACCAATCAAATTAAAGCACTGAATGGTAGAGATTTATGGTTAATGAAGGGGGTATTTCTGTTTATATCTTGATATTACAAAAAGGGGTTGAAATTGATCATTATCAAATTGGTAATTAAGCAAGTGGACATTAATTTTAATACTTTTTCTATTTGTCTTGAACTGACAGACAATTGATACAGTTAAAAATATTTCTTATAATGTATTCAGAAATAATGGTATTTTCAAAACTATTAAATACACTTCCATTGCGTTATCATCATGGAGTGGTGAAATCGAAATGTTCTCATGACATGATATGAACTAATTGGATGTATTTACCTGAAAATAATTAATATTAATAAACAATAATGAATGATTGTTCAATGGATGAATTGTCTACAGAAGATAATATTACCAATAATAATAATAATCTAATAAAACCACCGTCCAATAAATCGTAAGTCACCAAACATAATTCTTTTTTTAAAACATATATGTTATGATCAGTTACTCAGGGGTCCCAAACTTGGGCAAATGTGTATGGTTGGAGATGGGATAGCCAACTTCATCTCGTAGAAAAGAATTTTTTATCAAAAAAGCTAACCAGAAAAATCACTATAAATGTTGAATATTCGTTGTTTGCAATGGTTCATTTCAATAATCTCTGATGTTTTTTCCGTTGTACTTACTTACTTACTTGATTACGCCTGTTACCCTCAATGAAGCATAGGCCGCCGACCAGCATTCTCCAACCCACTCTGTCTTGGGCCTTCCTTTATAATTCTATCCAACTGTTGTTCATTCTTCTCATGTCTGTCTCCATTTCTCGGCGTAATATGTTCTTTGGTCTTCCTCTTCTCATTTGGCCTTCAGGATTCCATGTGAGTACTTGCCTTGTGAATCAGTTGGGTGCTTTCCTCAAAGTGTGTTCCATCCACTTCCAGCGCTTCTTACTGATTTCTTCCTCCGCTGGATGGAATCTGGTTTGTTCTCTCCCGCAGTAGGTTGTTTCTGATAGTGTCTTGCCATTTTCCGTTGTGCATCAGATATGAATTAGTTATGCAAGCAATACTAACATAAGTGTAAATTTCAATTTTTATAAAACTAACCGAATAAATAGTTTGTTCTCATTAATATATGATTTTTATCAATCAAAGTATTAAAAAAATATTATAATAAGAGTTGAGTCCTTATAAATGGTCTTTCATTAGACTGGAATTTGTTCAGATCAACAAATTATTAGTGGTCCATGTGGTCGAATCTGAATATCATGGTTATACCGTTTTTATAATAATATTAAAGTAGAGAATAAACAAACACTGGCTGATTCCATTATTATAATAGACCATTATTTAAATATAGAAAATAATTTGCTTTCAACTTGTTTTATAGCCGTCGATGAAATTTAAGTAGTCCACATGAAGTAAAAATATTCATTAACATTGAAGTAGATCATAAAAAGAACTGGTGAAACACGCTTATTGACTCATATGTTTATTAATTAACTATTGTTTTTGTTTTGTCTCAGTTTGCGATTCCTCAATGGTATGTACTCGTGATTATTCCATCAATCGGAATCCCAATCGGTGAGCACTTAACCGTTAAACTGACAGCCTAGAATCCAGTGGTACACATTTTCAACTTCACTCAAATGATAATACAGTGCAACGATCACTTAATATCAATTTCAATGGTTGTTTCATTTCAGACGTGTTTGAAAACTACTAGTGAAAACTTCTTACCAGGAGTTACGACCATGTATGAAAAACACCACCTACAAATTAAACTAGTCCTTATAAAGCTCATTTTGTTAACGTATCCATTTGATTAACTGTACTTTAGGTGGAGTTTTGTTCTCTGAGCTGGATGGTTTGGTCGTGGATCTTTGATAGTGAGAATTATTTATAAAGGTCAATTAAAATAAACAAATACAATATTTTATAAACTTAAACAATGCTCAAGACTAATGGTATATGATGATTATAAGCATTTGAGTTTCAGACTATTTTCACTTCATACAGTCTAACTGAACTACATTTAATAAGAAATTAATAAAGGTTAAGTAATAAAAGTTTAAGTGCTCGTGCGCGAGACTGATAGGTCCTGGGTTCGAATCTCACGAGGCGGGATCGTGGATGCGCACTACTGAGGAGTCCCACAATAGGACGAAACGGCCTTCCAGTGCTTCCAGGTTTTCCATGGTGGTCTAGCTTTAATTGACTCATTATTTCAAGTATCTATGGTAAATACATTAAGAAATATTTAGTTTAGAAGCTATTTCAACATTTTTATATGTAAAGAGAGATATGGAAGCGTTTAATTTGTCATTGTCATCACATAACAATTGTTAGTATTAGTCATTTTAAAACCTTTTTATAGATAATAACCATATTAAACTTTTTATCTGAAATCTTTCCGTCATTTTCTGAGTGGTGCATTTTACATTTTTGTTGCAATGAACAGTGGAGTTCAATCCTTATCAGATTTGTGACAGTTATCCACCTAAGAAAATTTATGAGGGATTGCGTAAGATCATGGATTGATTGAAGTTACACATTAATACTGTTGGATGCCAGCCCATTAGTCGGGAGGTTAAACGTTTATGTACGAAACCGAAGGTCCTGGATTTGATTCTCGGGTGAGGTGTCGTGTATGAGCACTACTGAGGAGTCCCATATTAGGACAGAAAAGGCATCCAGTGCTTCCAATTTCTTAGTGGTGGTCTAGCTTAGATTGACTCATGAGTTCGACCAAGTGACTCTGAGAGTGTCAAATATTAACTAAGACCAAATGAGGGTTATAAACCTGTAAGAAGAATTCAAATTATGATTTACAGTTCATGATTAAAACTAGGAATTATACTTAGGGTTTTCATCACTAACTGACATCAGCTATAATGCCAAAACTCTATTTATCCAAATGGATAATTGAATTTCGCGCCAAAATCTTATGATCACTTCTATTGTAGACGCTAAATTATCACGTCTTCCCTAAAATCCGCTGTTAACCGATCGTACGCAAGCATCAAGTACCGAACTTAGCGCCATGACCTTGAAAACCCGCGAAAGCTTCTGATTGGCTCGGCAGTATAGTTTAATCCTACCCCTTCGTCTAGATTAGAGCGAATAGTTTCACAGTATTTGGGCGTCGAGTTGATGTAAGACATTAAATAGGAATGATATATTTATAAAATCCCAGCGGATAAATCCGAAGTAAATCCAACGTTTTGCCTGGCAATCTGATCCAAGCTTTTTCAAGGAAATGTAATCAAACATCAAAATTATCGAGTATAAATAGGTATATGGTTCATCGGTTCATTGTATACTGAATAGGTCATCCAATCAGCGTTAAAAATGTCTAAACTAGGTATGTGTATTACTATGTAAGAGACTTGTGATGTGAAATGATATGTGTTAAGATAATATATTGTATGTATTTGTATATATGTGTTTTAGCGATTTCTCTTACATGAAAGTCTTACTTACGCCTGTTACTACCAATGGAGCATAGGCCGCCGATCAGCATTCTCCAACCCGATCTGTCCTGGGCCTTTCTTTCTAGTTCTATCCAGTTTTTGTTCATTCTTCTCATGTCACTAAGAGTAAATAAAATTCCTTTTTAAAGAAATATCATACATTTCACCAACATAAGGAATGAAAGAACTATCATTCAAAGTGAAATCTAATTCAAGTTAGCTTATTTTTTTAAAATATAATTGTGTAAACAATGAAGTTTTTCAGTAGTGAATAGTAGTTATAATAAATAATTCTATACAATTTTAATTAACTACTTAACTAACAATATTAAAAAAACCCAGCATTTACATAGAGTGTTTTAATTTGATAAACAAACTAAAGTCAACAACTTAGTTATTTTAACTGATGTTTACATATATATATATATATATATATATATATATATATATATATATATATATATATATATATATATATACGATTTCGTTGTCCTTCATATGTTTACTCATGAACCTACCTACCTGAAGTGAACCTACAAATGTTGCTAATGTGGCTTTTTTTCATTTCAATAAAAATAAATGACACTGAACTTCTACCACATAACGTGTCGTTTTTTCCCTCTCTCTTTCCTTCCCTTCCTTTTGTGGTGGGTTTTTTTTCAATTGTTCAGTGTGTTATTTTTTCATTTCCTGTTGTTATGTGATTAGAATCGACGATGAAACAATTTCCTGTCAATTAACTTTTGAATGAATAATCAGTAATTTAACTATATATATAAACCCACATACACGCACTCATGAAATGGCGTGCAAATACAATAGATTTTTCAGCCAAATTAATTCATTAATGTATAATACATAATCTTTGTTTTAGACGAAACTCAGGATAAATAAGATAGAATAGGTCACAAAAGAGATTGACAAGTAAACTGAAGGTAGTATGTTTTGACAGTTTTAATCATCTAAATATGGTCTTTATTATAACTGACATCGATGTAAGAAATAAATTCAAAATAAAGAAGACCATTGAATAGTGCACGACATTTTAACATAGTCAACACTGTACATGAATGAGCATTCAAAGTTAATAACGTAGAAGATCAACATTCATTTTATGCAATAATGTTGTTTATCTTTTAAGTTAGTGTTTGTGTAACTAGATATTCTTAATTTCAGCATGAATTTCAGTGGTCATTTCTTTTGCAGTAAATAGTTACGGGACAGTGAATAAGTAATTAGGTTGGTACTTTCAACATAAAATGGTGATTTCGATGAAAAGACCTTCTTGATCAAATAACTTAATTAATACCTGCTTAATAACCATTAGTGACAATCAAAGATTGCATATATTGACTGTTTCATTTTGGAATACCTATAAAGCTGACGACTATGCTCAATCATTTAATCAATTTGGACATGTACAAGTCAGTCGATAACTATCGGTTGTTTGCAGTCATTCTACGAAATATTATAGAAAAAAATCTCCAATTGTTAAAATGAACTGAGTGCCTTTATCTAAACTATAACACTTGGAGTTTCAGTATAATACCATAACTCATGATTGGCCTATAATAGGAATTAGTACACAAGTTACCTAATATTTACAGTTTATTGAAATCTGCACTGTCATGATCAAGTAACGGATTGACTAAGAGGTTCAGTTGTTGAGAAAAATTAAATGAAAAAAACTGAAATTAGATAGGACACAGAAGGTATGATGTTCTCAAATAAGAATGTTTGTTGAAAAACCAGGAGGCGCTAGATGGCGGCTCACTAACCTAGACCAATGGTTTATAATTCGATCCCCGATGTGATCATGGATGGATACTGCTTAGGAAGAAACAGTTGTTCTTTGCTTTTTGGTTTCCAGCTTCGATCTAACTTACATCATTTTGCGATACAAACTATGAAAATTCTACAATCTCAAAAAACTCTCACCTTATAATAAACAAATATTTATTCACACTTATCTTTGTAAGTTATACCTGTATATTTCGGTGAAACACTGCCTTACTCTATGTAAAAATTTGTATCCATAACAATTATAATAATCCTTTTGACATAAACAATTGAGACTATTCAAAGCATTCAGTACTAACAATAAAAACTTTTTTTTATATAAAAGCTTTTTATCGAAATTATGTATAATTTAGAAATAAATTTCCACCATAAACTGATATCAGTTTATAAAGAATTAAAATGTATAAACTTGTGTCAGCATAGTCTGTGACTACTATCCAGAATGTTTACTTACAAACCAATACGGTATTGAAAGATGTGGAACGTTAGAGAACTCAGTAAAAGATTGATAACCAACTAACACTCATGTCTAAAATCAGAGATTTTGTTAAGGTAAGGCATTCCAACGTACAATCAAATAGTTTTACAGTATACTCTGGTAATTATTGCAGTTGTTTTCATGACAAATAAGCACTTTCAGATTTTCACTTCATATATTTAAAATAAATTAGTTACTATTTGAAATTCCTAAAAAAATATTTTTTTTAAATTTCTTTTTTATCCAGCTCATCAGAAAACTCATCTTCCCTATTCAAGCATTCAGAACTATCTAAACAAGACTTTCTTGACCATAAAATGAATACAATTAATCAATTGTTTACTACCCCTTTATCCGATCACAATTCTACAAATACAAATATTTCTGAAAGACAAATTGAAACCAATCAACAAAATAATCAAAATATATCCAAATTGGAAGACATTTTATCTGATATTTCATTATCCACATTTTGGGAACCATTTAAAACTACTGAAAGAAGGTCAACTGAAATAAAAACTCCCAGAATAGAAAATATGATGTTTAGAAAGGATGATAATTCAGTTGTTAATGTTAAGGTAGTTATTTCTTATGATAATTATACTTTTATTTCGTGTCAAAAGATGACTTGCAGTTTAAGCTAATCTTGAATTTACTTTTTACTTGATGGAAACAAATTGTTGAAAGATTAAATGATTTGTGAATTTCAATCAGATACCCTATAAAGCAATAAGTCCCTTTTGATAAATTTTGATAGTGTAATAAGAAGACGAAGATTATCAAAACTATGTGATATTCAAAAACAGTTTGTTCTCACTTTAAACCTACCTTAGTAATATCAGCTTATTATCAAAAGTAAATAGGTTTCAAATTGTTTTCAAATTATTATCCTCTTACCCCCAATTTCCAGTCTAGTTGACCTTTTATTTTTTATATATAAATTTTCTTAACAAGTATATGTGTGATCAGATTGTTCGAAATGTATTGCGCTAATATACCACTACATAGTTCTGATAATCTTCGTACTCTTATTACACTATCTAAAGATACACCATAATCAAAGTTCTCATCTATATTTCTTCTATGATTTCCGCATTATTTATGTAATTTATTGTTTGAACAATAATATCAATAGGTAAGAATCCAGAGAAACTCTTAATTGCGGTATTCTTAGTTCATTCATAAGCTTAGCTTCAGAAATTAATATTATTTTGATCTGCTTAATGTGTTACTATGAGTTTTAGCAAACTTGAACTGTGGCTAGAAGAGACTATAGTCTGTTGTATAAAACAACAGGAAAACTCAAATCTTTATGTATAATCAGTTATTAAACAACTGAAACTAACTATACTTATTGAATGTGTTTCATATTGATTCTTTTACAATGAATTCATTTGCTTGTATATAAAAATTTGATTGCAAAAATTGAACACTGATTAAATACACGGAAATCCTTTTAGTGTTTATATTATCAACTATGAACAATACTTTGTGAATCCATTAGAGTATCTCGGAACAAATTCAGATTTAATATCTGTCAATAGTTGTTTTATTGTTGGACAAAAACTAATATGATTTAGCACAAGAAAGATAACAAGGGTAATAAACAAGTATTTTATATAATTGTAATCATCAGTCAATTGAAGCTAGACCACCATGAAAAACCTGGAAGCACTGGATGGCCGTTTCGTCATATTGTGGGACTCCTCAGCAGTGCGTATCCACGCCCCCCTTCTGATAAAAACAAGTACTTATTTGACACTAAAACTAGATTTTTAAAAAACTAAGTCCGAATTAGTTGACTTTGTAATTTATCTCACTAATCGTATAAGGAATAACTAAGAGAATTAGGTAGTTTGAGTTTTATATATTTACACATTAGTTCAGTGTTGACAAATTACTTTGTTTTATGATTAACCTGATAGTGTTAGTTGATAAGAAAGGTACTATTATCAAAGCTTTAAAGTTAATCAATGACAAATCAAACTTATTTATAAATGTCGTCAATCCAATTTGACCAAATGTGGCTCAGTCTTATCTTTCTTTTTATCTTGTCTTAGCAACTGCATTTCTTATGCTGAATTATTTAAATCATATTGACCTTTTAACTTTTTGTTAAGCCGGATAGTAAAAAAAACTAATTTTTTAGATCAGATACTCGTCATAAATTATCTCTCAACGGTATCACATGGAAAACAGTTAGATTCAGATTATCAACGAGAAACATTTTCATCAAATAAAGATAAGAGAAGAAACTGATTAATAAGACGGTTATTATTAGTTTTTACTGTGGTCTATCACTCAAATAACTTTGTAGTGAATGATATAACTATTGAAGGATCTCATACAAGATATTGTAAGTATTAATAAACTCAACCCTCCTATCATTTCAAGACATGGTCAGATAACAATATTTATCATGAACTAAAGCCAGATTAAGAATTGTCAAACATCAGGATGCACTATTTATTTTACTACAAAAATAATATAGATTAACTCCAGTAAGCTCAAGTTTAGTGGCGGAAAAAATAATTGAATCATTAGATGGATAGTCAATTAATTGGTTGAAGTTAGACATCAACACCGTTGGATGCCGGCTCAAGGATCTAGAGGTCAGGCGTTCGCGCGCGAGACTGGTAGGTCCTGGGTTTGAATCCCGCGAGGTGGGATCGTGGATGCGCAGTGCTGAGGAGTCCCACAATAGGACGAAACGACCATCCAGTGCTTCCAGGTATTCCATGGTGGTCTGGTTTCAGTTGACTCATGATTGCGATTTTCGTTAAACTACATAACATAATTACAAAATGTTTTAATTGTATAGTTTTATATTTTAATCAAATACTTGTTATATATGTGTTTATTCAATAGTTACATCCAATATTTTCGGAAAAATCATGGGCTCAATCATTATTTAAAGAAAGTATGAATTGTTATGATGAATATAAAGAGAATCCAGAAAGAATACTAGATGATCATTTTAGTCGAATATGGAAAACACGTGAAGCATGTATGCTTTCAGAAGATCAAATTGATCTACAAAATACTTTTCAAAAATATTCCAAAAAATGTAATAAAACCCGTAGAAAATTACGTACAAATAAAAATATCTATCATGAAGATCAGAATTATAATAATATTGATCATGATTTGAAAGGTAAGTGTAAATAACTCTATAGATTAAGATCAATAATACTTCATTGATAAAGTGACAATTTATTTTCCCTACAAATAGTCAAATAATGTGTAGATAGAAGTCCTCTTTGACAACAAACAATTCACATTATACTACATTAGTACATCTTTTATGGGTTGAAAAGAATTCTCATAAACTGAAAAAAATTGTTATTGAAAAGCAAAAACAAACTAGCTAAAAATGATTAGTTGAAAGCGTGAGTCAACTGAAGCTAGACCACCATGGAATACCTGGAAGCACTGGATGGTCGTTTCGTCCTATTGTAGGACTCCTCAGCACTGCGCATCCACAATCCCACCTCGCGATATTCGAACCCAGGACCTACCAGTCTCGCGCGCGAACGCCTGACCTCTAGATCCTTGAGCCGGCATCCAACGGTGTTGATGTCTAACTTCAACCAATTAATTGACTATCCATCTAATGATTCAATTATTTTTTCCGCCACTAGACTTGAGCTTACTGGAGTTTCGAGATTCGAACATAGGACCTACCAGTCTCAATTGACTCACGATTTCAACTATGAAAATACTAAAATCTCCCCACAAAACCCCTTCTGATAATAAAAATGATTAGTTTCCTCATATAATCGATGAAAAGACTGATTCAAAATATTTATTTTTGAAATTGAAAATATGTATTACTATAGTCTGTAGCAACAACTTCACATTTTCTGGGAATATTATTGAAGCTGACAAACTTAGATGCAATCACATTCAAAATCGTATCTGCATGTTGCTAAAAAGTTATATACAATGAATAAGCATCTATTTAGTGTTTTGTTTTGTTTTATTTTTTAATTTATAATTTAACTCAAGCCAATAAATAATAAAACTGAAAAAATAGTTTTGTTTGTAATGTCAAATATTTCCTGGGTAATTTTGTAAAATAATGTAGTTCACAAGCGCTATAAAAAGGAGAACGTAAAGGGATATTTTCATAGTTGAGATCATGAATCAATTGAAGCTAGATCACCATGGAAAACCTGGAAGCAATGGACGGCCGTTTCGTCCTATTTTGGGACTCTTCAGTAGTGCGCATCCACGATCCCACCTCGCGATATTCGAACCTAGGACCTATCAGTTTAAATGGTTTAAATAGGTCTCTAGGCGGATCTTATCCAGTCAAATATCTATTTCACACTATCTATAAAGCTAAGTGTAGAAACAAACGAACTGGTACTGAGAGTTGAGTCTTTATTAAAATTTCAAATGTATATTTATATTTTCTTCTCATAAGACTATTTACTTCAGTAACACAGTATGTGATTATTTGAAGTGACTGCTTTTTGAGATATTTTAATACTTCTATCCTTTTTTTAAAGACTTCATAAACAATATAGAGTTAAATGGAAAGGATGAACCATCCTATTGGGGTTTTAATAACTCCCAATATATCGATAATTATGAAGAGGATGTTCATAGTTGGAGTTCTAACCAAAAATTAACCAAAAAACATTTTAATTCATCAAAACAACTTCAAGTAACTAATTCCCATTATTCACATGATCATAATAATTATCATACCGCTTTACAGCAAAATTATTATGTATGTAATATTTGTAACAAGCATTACTTTGAACAAAATGATTATCATGATAATTTGTTCAATACAATTAATGAGGAATATATTCCAGTACATCGCAGTGAAGTTATAACAGATTATATTGATTTCCATGCATTTGTAGACCCAAGAAGAAAAGGAAATTGGAATAAAAGAATAATTAATCACAGGTAAAAACCATAAGTTTTCTTCACAGTTTTTTTATATGCCATTGCTTAACTTACGAAATTAGTATGTATTGTTCCCTTCAAGTTTCACTGTCTTAAGTATATGGTTGACTTAATTCCATAAAATAATACATGGGTCACAGAATGGTCTTACTTGTTAACCAGCTGTCTCTATAACCATTTCTATATTATACACTAAGTAATGGGAGGAAAGAGTGTTTATATAATACTTATACATACCCTTTGATCATTTGTTTGCATTTCGCAGAGCGTTTTTCAATCCCAACTGTCTTTTCGTCTGGTCTTTTAAGTGTTCTGCCTACGCCGTGCTTTTGATGTACTAAAACTCTTCTCTCTATCTGATGACTATGACAGTCATATACAACTTAGAAGCCCTACCTACAATCATAGTAGCGAGAATGGATAAATAATTGTTGATATTACAAAATAGTTCAATACTACTTATTAATTACTACCCTTGCGATTAAAACATTTAACTATTAGAGTCTATCTATAGTAAGTAAGGTAAACTTTAAACAACTCAATTTATTCATGTTAACTGACAGTTTGAACGTTTCGTTAACTTCTGACATTTAAGTAACATGTAACATGTTAAGTAATCATATGGAAAAATTTGATTGATTTTGATAAAGGAAATAATAAGGAACAATGAAATGGTATAACCTTATTATAAAGTGAATAGAAATCTTTAACATACATGAGAAACTGTTTTTTTCTCGAAATGTGATAAAAGTTTTATAAAGTAATAATCACACTTAAACTCTTTAAAGTTTTTATGTAACTTAAATGATACTTCTCCATTATATACCTGAGTAATACTATTTGTGATTCAGAGTTAAAAGTATCTAAATGAATAAGTGGATTCATTTTAGGAACTTGTTTATCACGTCAGAGATGTGAGATATGAATCTGAATGTTTAGTTTACTTTTATATTAATAATCAGGAAGCACTAACAGTTTATTTGGTCATAGTTTAAAACTCCCTCTCGCTTTCTATAATACACTACAGAGTCTCAGAATTAATTCTGTTATTTCCTACTGTCAATAAATATAAAGTTGAGAAGAAATGTTCATACAATGTGATTTGGTTCTCAGTGGTTATGTGGATAAAAATTGGTCGAATATTGTAGAATTCTAGATACGTTTTTGTGTAATGCTTGTCCATTAATATTCGGAATAAACGTAACCAGTCTAGAATGTTAAGGTGATACATTTTTGAATGGTAAATTTAGACTCACTCAAGTTAATAAATAGTTCTCTGCAATCTAAAAATAAAAATAAGAGACAAATTCGGATAATTCCTTGAACATGTTTTTTTGCTATAAATAACATAATTATCAAATCCTCATTGATTAGTGTTTAATTGTCAAGTTGAGCTCTTCATGAATCTGTTTCAACATATCATCATTAGTAAGTAATTGAGTTATTCCTTTGTTGATATTCAGAAATGAATTTTAATCGATCTTCGTGTCATTCTGTCCTGATTGAATCAATATAGTCATTATTTCATGTTATTTAGAATAGATGAATCGTGATTAACAGGGAAATTTTAAGACTAACTTTTCATTTTATTTGGAATTCGTCAGCTGGATATACGTGCATCTCAACATTAATGTTCACATTTGGACTCCAATCACCTAAGATGCCCAAAGCGTATATATTAACAAAAACCGGATCCCACTGTAAACACAATCTATCTATTCTAAATAACTTATTTTAATATAGTCTTTAATTGTATATTAATACTTCTTTAATATAAATTTATCCAATCGGCAAGTCTTAAGATAAATGATCTATCTAAATTAGTCTTTTATATCAAGTTCCGATTAACCGTTGAGATAATAGTAAAGAGGTTGATTGCTCAAGTTTTACTACTATTTTTTAATCTACTTTCAATTCAATAATTATGATAGTGTCAAGTATATTAATTTACTAACCAAGATTCTATGAATAGTATTTTGATTTTTGTTAATTCATTAAAAATTTATTCAATTAAATATGCTAACATATAAATTGAATATTAGTTCAAGCGTATCCTTGAAATGCAGACTGACCAATTTATTAATATTAGACAATGAAACTATCCTATTGATACTAAGATGGATATGGTTCAATGATTACTTCTTCATCTTCTTCTCCTTCTTCTCCTTTTTCTCTTTCTTCCAACTTTTGAATATTCAATAAACATAACAGTCAAATCAGTTTCTTCCAGTATTTCTTTGTATAGGAACAAAATAGTTTACAATTTTAATCGTTTTTTTATCTTTATCAAATATTTTAATCTACCTAAATGTAAAAACTGATACGGTACACATACATGACTGCTTGATTTACTAAAAGAAAATTGAATAGAAACTAATTTATAATTAAATTATAAGATGAAAAAAAGAAAAACACAAACAATAGAAAATACCAAATTAATTTTTTTGTTTTTGTTTTGTCAACTTAGTAAAATTCAAATTGAAACCCCTCCCCGCCCCTCCTCCCTAAAAAAACAAACACTCACTTCATTGTTGTTTTATATTTTACTTATTAGACCAATAAAAAAAACTAAGTTATATCTTCTGTTATTTGCTTATACAATGTATCCAACTAATAATCTTTTTTTTTTAAAAAAACGAAATAGAATCCCCATGAGATTTAATAACTAATTAACTAATAAACTAATTAAATATTTAAAACTGGACATTGAAACCAATAAATTTTTCTTTTTCTTCTCTTGTGGACTTTTAAACTAAAATTAGTTTGGTTAACTATATTAGTTTTTTTCTATTTTTTTCTTCTCATGTGTAGATAAGTATTACACAGCATATTGTTTCTATTCAAAAATGTTGGATATTATTCAAAGTAAAATGTTATTGAAGTATTGATAGTTGAGATCATGAATCAATTGAAGCTAGACCACCATGGAAAACCTGGAAGCACTGGACGGCCGTTCCGACCTATTATGAGACTCCTCAGTGGTGCGCATCCACGATATCGCATCGCGAGATTCGAACCCGGGACCTATAAATTTCGTGCGCGCTCTGAGGAGTCCTATAATAGGACGAAACTGATATCCAGTGCTTCCAGATTTTTCATGGTGTTCTAGCTTCAATTGATTCATGATCTCAACTATCAAAATTACTATAATATCCAGAAAATCCCTTCTGTTATTGAAATAGTTAAGAATAAATTATAGTTTTATCATGCATCCCTTTCATATATATATGTATATAGTAAAGATAAGTTAAATATAACTTGACAAAAACAATGATAATGCAGTTGGTTATCGGTTATAGGAATACAGATTTAAGTATTATTTATCTTCTGATTGGATTCTGGGCTAATAACCTTTGTTCTAAGAAATTGTTCCTTCTTTTTTATCCATATACATCCTAAATTATTATTTTTATTACTACTATTTAGAATTATTTGTTGATTATCCTGTTAATTTTATTGTCCTATCCTGATTTGGTTTGGTAAATTCGACGGATGCGTATGAGTAATGACTTGGGTAAATCAAAATATCTAAAGAAGTAGTTTGAAATAGCGATAGTGTTAGGTGGAATTACAAAAATTACAATGTATACACTTGAAGTACATATAAAGAATGAGTTTATTTCGGCCGAAGAAGTCATTAACGTGTCGCTCAGATAAATATCATCATAATATATATTAATGAAATGAAAAAGCAAATCTGATATGGCGAATATTTGAATCCATTCAAATATATATATATATATATATATATATATGCTAGTGAGTGTTAGACTATTACATTTAATTACCTAAAATGTATGACACATCAAAACGTATAAATTATTTAATAGTTGAATTCATGAGTCGATCGAAGCTAGACCACCATGAAAAACTTGAAAGCACTGGATGGCTGTTTCGTCTTCATGAGTTTAACTATTAAATTACTACAATCTCCACAAAAACCTCCAACCTGATAGTAATCATCATGTGCTAACTAGTAACCGACTTCAAGAGGTATTTCCTGAAGTTCTAGTGAGAAGCCATGACCAACGGATTTCAACCATGTTTCTTGTGAGACAGTTACTCAATGAAGACAATGGTGGACGTTGGCGCAATATTGTGAATTGGTTGGAGTTAAGCACTAACACAATCGAATACCGACTGGCTCAGTGGTTTAGAGGTCAGGTGTTCGAGTACGAGACCAAAGATATTGGGTTCAAGTCTAGAGTGAGGAATCGTGGATGCATACTGCTGGGAAGTCCCATACTAATATGAAGCGGCTGTTTAGTGCTTCCAGGTTTCCATTGATAGTCTAGCTTTAATTGACTCATGAATTCAACTATTAAACAACTACAATTTTCACAAAAATCCTTAATCTGGTATAAATACTCGCTTGGTTTAATTAGGATTCAGTTTTTGAAAGAAATTCGATCGTGTAACAAAATTATAAAATTATTCTATGTGAACTTGTTTATAACACAGTTTATGAGTTCAATTTAAGAATCATAGTTTGGATTCATTTCATTACCTCTTAATAGTTCTTCAACTCATTAAAGTTTGATTGTACAACATATCTTAACAGATTAAACGCTATCTACCAAAATAACACTCATTAACTGCTTCATAAGTTTGAAAGAGCACATTTAAAGTGTGGAAGTATATCAAAAATAACGGGTAAATATCTTTATTTATTGTTATATATAGGGTATAGACTAATAACTATATTGCTGAAACAAATTTTTACACAATGGTAATGGTGTTTGTCATTTGTATGACAGATTTCATAGACTAATAAATCATTTTTTTAGAATAATTTATAGAGGTGTCAGTTTTTCAATACAAGTTTATATCTAACTGTATTAGTGACAGTTAGACTTAAAACAGAAAGTATGATTGACTTAACCTTGTGTTACCTTGACAGATAAAAATAAACAAATATTTAATTTTCTATCCATGTTCACACAATTCATGGAATTGTTGTTTTAACTGAATAATAAGTAGTTGAATTAAATCATCTTAAGTTTATGTATACAATTTACTAGAGAGACTAAATTAGGACTGAAAACTTTTTAATGTAGCTAGGAAAATGAAGCGAATTGCTGGAATTTTTTAACGCCAGTTTTGAATAAAAATGTACGTTTTTCTTTAAAAAAAAATCTGGATGGTAATTAAGGTTAGGTATATGGGTAGTAAGATAAATTGTGAAAACTTTAATGTGCACATAAACTAGAAACTATATTGTGTTCAATAATGGCGTCACTAAATTAAAATATAAAATGATGGTAAGTGATGAAGCCGGATGTCCTGCTTATTAGGTATAATAGGAAAAGTGATAAAATCTAACTGAGTCATGATCAGCTTGCAAACTAAAGATACTGATTTCAAATATATATGTTCGGGAAAAAATAGTAGATTTTACAATTTTAGATAGTTTTAAACAGTAGACTGGCAGAATCTACTAACGGTTCAAAACCTCGAAGTTTCATTCTTTTTTAAAAGTAGGGACTTAAAAACCTTATTTTGATGATAGCTGACAGTGGAATGTAGGACGCCAAAAGAGACTGATCAATAGTAGTCCTTAACATCAATGGAAAGATTCAAACAACCAATGCAAATGAATTAAAAGCCTTGTATTACGAATTGAGATCAAATGGCGTGTATTTACATAACTGTCTGTGGGTTTAATTGGACCAGATCAGCCTAATCCATGCGTACGACAATCCGTATCTGTCTTGATTACCTAAAAAAGTAATATGAAGTGAATAAATTTCAACATCACTTTTTGACTATCTCGATTATCCTAAGAACCTATCAATTCTGATTAAACTAATGACTAAATTTATTATTTTTTTTATTTTATAGTAGGCGCCGCTCATGTCATAGCTGTTCAGATAAATCAGAAGAATACAATAACAGAAAAGATCATCATAATTTCATTCAAAATTCAATATCATTACAGGATATTACTAATAATAAACAAGATTATCTATTGAATGGTTTCATAATTAGTATAGTTTATGTATCAGAAGATTCATTACCACATGTAATTCTTTGTGAAAATATTCAATGGACATTGGAACTTTTTAAGAGGAAAGTTATTCAAAAATTGTATTCCATTAATCAAAAACTTCAAAATGAAATATACAATGAATTTAAGAATTTAAGAAAACGGTATGATAAAACATTTTTCTAATCTATGTAGTTTATATGAGATTTGAGTCATGGTTGAAAGTGAGAGTCTAAATTTCATAAAAAAATTCATGACATGACATTTATCAAAACAAAAGAATGTCATTTTCAGTTTTAAAGTCAAAGATTTTGCCTACCAAACATCAAGATTGTTGCTTACATCTAAATCACTTGATTGTTTATACAAGCTATTACTAGATGAAAAATAATTTCGATGAGATTATAATTCATGGACGATCTTTGAGCGACGCTAAAGTGACTTTGAGAATGTTCACCTACTAACTAGGACCAAATGAAGTTTATAAACCGGAATGAGGAACTAGAATTAGAATTTACAGTTGATGCTTAAGATTAAGATTTAGATTTAATGTTTTCATCACGAACTCACATTGGCTATAATGCCTAAATTATATTTTGCCAAATATATGGATAAATCCCACGCCAAAATCCGACACTTGTTATCTTATACGTGATTGGTTCGCTCATAAATTATAGTCTAGCTATAATTCCGTCAGAATGTCATTAATATTGATTTGTCTTGACAACATTTCAGATTGAGAAAATATCAAGGTAATAAACAACAGAAAACTTTCGAATCCATTGTCTCTAAATGGGATAAAACGTTTATTGATCAATGGAATCATTAAAATACATTGTATGACAACTCAAGCAAAGACTTTCTTGTTCTAATGATCAGTCATTCAGTCAAAATTAAATGGCTGACTACTTTAAGTCCAATGTGTTCATCATCACAGTACCACTTTTACTTAATTTCAAATGTAAATTTGCGTCTTACTATAGATTTAATTGAAGCTGCTAACTTTGGTAACATACTACTGAAGAGTAGCTTTTTTACAACACAGTTTCTTCGTAGCAACTATCAGTAAGGTCCATGGATATCATGAGTTTCACAAAAGATAAAATTAACATGAAATTTTATGAGCAAAGATGGATATCAGCTAGCAGTGGAATCTAGGATGCGCGTTTCGTCCTATTTGAGACTCGTTAGCTAGAAGTACCCGTATCTGAGTTGATTTTCACTCCGGGACTCGAACCCAGTATCTTTCTTTCCAAACGCCTTCGCTTTATCCACTCAGTTACTGAGCCCTGATAGCCACTTGTTTGTGCAATCGGGTGAAGTTTAAATTCACTGATCAATCCTAAACATCAATGGGAAGATTCAAACAAATAATACCAAGTGAATGACATTTTATGATTCGTATGATTTTAATTGGATCATCTAATTAATTGTTTCTATTACCCTTGACGGCTAGTTTGATGTAAATTACTGTTCTTAAATCTAAGAGAATTAAAGTTGTCACTTAATTATCTTTTTTATAGGGGATATGTTTATCACTTCCTAGTGTTTTCATATACAAAAATTTATTCTGAAAATAATGGTCAGTGTACCATTAGAATATTGTTTATCAGTAATTTCCAGTATAGAGACAATTGTATTATATAGTACATATTTGTTTCCATCGTATTATTTACAATTATTTCTACTTAATGTTTACATTACTGTTGTTCATTTGTTTTTACTATCATTCTAGATTTTATTTCAAAACTGAATCCAATGAATTAAATACCAACATGATTTATTATGAAATTATTGATGATACAGAAGAGATACCTCGCTGGAAAGGTTTAATATGGGCTAAAATTGAAATAGATCACAATGAAGTATTATAGATAGTAAACATTGGTTTTCATTCCCGTTAATTCATATGTACATACCTTTAAGATAAAAAAATATAAAAATTATTTCTACATTATTTAACTTTTGTATAGTCTAATATACAGCAACATGGTGTGTTTTTAGGTTAAATAAATGGATAGTTACATGATCGATAATTATGTCACCAAGATTATATGAATTTTGAAAATCTTGTCGACACCTCATTGAGTTTTTGATGGACCATTATGTTTGATTTGTCTTTGTAAATATGGACTGCACTTAATATATCCGACAGTGCATTTGATTAATTAAACATTTAACTGCTTTTTACGAAGCATCTTCAATCGTAGATGTTCCAAAAAAAGAATTTTTATAAAATTACGTAACTAAGACTACAATGGCTGATTAAAAACGGTCATATTTTCCTAGTTGTGACAAAAACGTTAAATGTAGTACTTTGTAATCTTTGTATGATAATACCTAAGTTGTGCCGTAAACACGAGTTTATCAATTTTAAATGATGAGCGACCTCTAATTCAATGAATAAGCATGGATAATTACTTTATTCTAATCAGTATAGAACTGTGAATATTGTTAGGTTTTGACTGAGGTCATGGACTGATTATTGTTAGACCACCATTGAAAACCTAGAAGCACGAGACGGCCGGCTGGGACTTCCCAGCAGTACGCATCCAAGATTCCTCACTATAGACTCAAACCCAAAACCTTCGTTCTCGTGCGCGAACACCTGACCTCTAAACCACTGAGCCGGTATTCGGTTGTGTTTGATTTCAACCAATCCACAATATTGTGCGACCATCTTCCATTGTATTCGGTGGATCGTTTGTTCAGTTGACTGACACTAACTTGACCTTGTTCTTTTTCTTTAGCCCTAACAGCAAATCTCAAGACTATAGGCGTAAATATTTTAAAAATGTGATTAGTTTAAATACTATCAATATGTCCAGGTGCATGAGTTTTTTTTGCCTAAATCTGTCAAGGTGTAACATGCTGAGAAACAATTTATCTCTGGCTGTAACCACATTTAAACTTCAGTCTAGTAACAGCAGGATTACTAGTGCTTGTTGTTATTAAAAAGTTAATAACTCCAAAACTTGTTAACTTTTATATTCAACCTGAAACAATAGTAACTGATTATATCATCGTTAAAATTATTAATATTAATGGGCATGGGTATGAGGAGTGAAAAGGGGGAATGGCTTAAAAATTGCTCATTAATGCTGTGGGAGGGTTTGAATTATAAACCTAAGCCACAGTTTTTTCATGTTATTTTGCCTAATCATACAATTAGAAATCAAAGTTGCACAGTGATTTCAAGACACAGCCTAATGTTCGTATGTTTAAATAACGGATTAAATTTTATTTAATACTAAATTAATAACCTTCATTGAACTGAAAAGCCATATAACTCTCTCAAATTTTTGTCTTTTGACACTTGAAAAACATTTCCAAGAAGTGCGACTGTTCATAGACACAAACATACGACATTAAATTACAGTATTATGATTATTTTTGAGAAGTGTGTTATACTGAACGGGGTTTTCATCTAATGATGTAAACGTTTAATATTTCCTAAAAGACAGTTGTGAACAGACAGAGAACTATGAAATATTTTTATTGGCTTAACAGAAAATCAGAGATCTATTGGTATACTTCATATGCTGAAATTATATTATGTACTCTGTAAAGAAACTATCATGTTTTTAAGCCGAATGAGTAGGAAACAGATGCTTTTTTGTTTATATCGTGAGGATATGAGACTGAATAAATGGTGGTTAGTTTAGAAAGCTCATTTAAAATATTTTGGTTTCATATCACCAAAGATCTGGATCAGACTTTGACAAATATTATTTCTAATCGTTAATTTCAGACACATAATATGATTCTCGAGCAGATATTTATTTGTAAATACCATTGACCAGTGGATGAATGTAATTTGAATGGAACATATAATACTTCAACTTGATTCATACCAAAAAGTGACAATTAATAATAAAAATGAATTAATACTGAGTTACGTGAACGTTAGTTGCTAATCGACGAGTTAAGCTTATGTACTTCAAAAAGTCTAATCACTTTGGCTTCTTTGAAATTACATGTTTCAAATCATAATGTCTTACCAATTTAACTAAAAACTGAGAGTTTGAATTATACGATTCTCAACATTTACTACCTAACGAGTTTAAACTTCCTGTCTCATTTTTGATTTAATAATTTAAAACACCTCAGTTCATATTTTCCTCCATTCCTCTCATCAGAATTGCATTTAAATATATATGTGTATTTCAGATTTTCACAAGCTTACATCATTCATCAGTATTCTAATAAACTAATTGTCATTTTTGATTCTGAAGAGGTTTTTGTGGAGATTTAGTATTTTCATAGTTGAAAGCGTGAATCAATTGAAGCTAGACTACCAGGGAAAACCTTGAAGCACTGGACGGCCGTTTCGTCCTATTGTGGGACTCCTCGGCAGTGCGCATCCACGACCTCGACTCACGAGATTCGAACTCAGGACCTACCAGTCTAGCGCCAGAGCACCTAACCGCCAGACCACTGAGCCGGCATCCCATAGTGTTTAAGTTTGACTCCAACCAATCCATGAACTTGAGCAACCGTTCACTTATTGTCTTCAGTGAGTTCCTATCTCACAACAGACCACTAGTGACTGACTTCGAGAAGTAAATCCAGGAGTTCTAGTCAGAAGCAGTGACCAGTGGAGTTCGAACTAGGTTTGTTGTGAGATAGTAACTCACTGAAGACAATTGGTGAACTGTTGCTCAACTTCGTGGCTTGGTTGGAGTTAGACATAAACACCATGGGATGCCGGCTCAGAGGTCTATAGGTTAAGTGCTCTGGCGCGAGACTGGTAGGTCATGAGTTTGAATCTCGCATTTCTGGATCTGTTTATTTATTTCACTCTACAAAACATTTTCTCTATGTACAGGGTTCATTTAGAGAATTATTAAAAGATTGACATCACCATTATTTAAACTACTTATCAATACACTTCTATCATTCTATACGGTAACAAATTGAAGACATTTAGATTTTCAAAATAATCATCCTATTCCAAGATCATTAAGTTAAACGATTATAAATCCATTTCATTTCAACTCCATGATTTCAAACAAAAACTTTTACCTGAAACAGCAGTTTTATTAAGAAATCACTTCATTGTCTATTCGTAAAGTCTAAAAACCAATTCGAAACTAACTTGACAGTAGTAAATTAGATTAATTAGTTTTTATAATAATTTTACTTAAAATGTCTTTCAAGAATCTATATGGTGTATAACTGTCTGATATATGTGTATATATACTACTTTAATTTCATTTAAATAATAGTTGTTTTTATTATCACCATTTCGTTCATAATATAAACACAAAGAATCCAGAAAAAAAAACGTTTATCTTTTAAAAACTTGTTATTTAATGTAAGAAGAAGAATGAAAGAAAAGGCACGTGTTCAACGAGCTGTAACATCAGTAGGTGATGATGTTGTTTTCATGATAATGACGATGATGATAATAATAATAATAATAATGATGATGATGATGACAGATGATGGATAAATTCATTTATTTTTGTTGTTATCATTTTAGATGAGGTCATATCTTTTCTATTGTTCCCATGTGATTTCATTAATAAATAAAAAAAAAAAAATTATAAGTGCCAGACATAAGACATTAAAAAATATATAGTGTATTCATCTAATGGCGTGTAAGTGTTAATCTTATTTGGCATACATACAATAGATATGTAGATTTCATTTTTAATAATTAACTCCCGTATGTTGTATATCTATGTGTAAAATTCAGTCAAGCCTGTCGATCATTGATGAATTAACTTTTATAAAAATCAAATGGCAGCTGTATTTATATAGTGTATTATTATTAAATGTCGTGTAAGAAAAGGAGACAGGTGATAAAATAATATTTATTTTCTCTGTTTTCTTCAGTTAATTTCAGTAATAGCACACTATTAATGAAAAAATTCTTAAGGTCAATAGTATCTTATTCAACATGTAATTTATAAATAGTATCATGATTATTCTGTTTTTAATTTCTCTTGTTTAAAATATATCATAGTTGAAATCATGAGTCAGTTGAAGCTAGACCACCATGGAATATCTGGAAGCACTGGACGGCCGTTTCGTCCTATTATCGGATGAAATCAGCAGTGAGCATCCACGATCCCGCACTCGCGAGTTTATAACCCAGGACCTACCAGTCTCGCGCCATAGCACTTAACCAATAGACCACTGAGCCGGTAACCAACGGTGTTAATGTCTAACTTCAACCAATCCATGATTTTGGGCCACCGTTTAACTATGAAAATACTGAAATCTCCACAAAACCCCTTCTGATCTAAAATATATCAGCCTACTTAAAGAAGATAAAACGACGGAAGACTAAAATTTTGTTTTTGGTGAACAGAAATAAGAATCGATTTCATAATGTTGTTTATCGGGGAATTATTTTATTTATGTGAGAATAGAAACATCATGAGAAGTTTGCCGATGGTAATGTTATTGTCATTTTGCAAAATAACTTGATTACTTAGTGGTATATCATAAGTTAAAGACCAGAAGAATTCAGTTAGTATTTAAATAATGACAAGCACAAGCAGATGGCTATCAGGACTCAGTAGCTAAGTGGATATTGCGATGACGTTTGAAGCAAACAGTACTGGGTACGAGTTTCAGAGTGAACATAAATTCTGAGATGCAGGTACATCCAGATGACGAGTCCCGAATAGGATGAAACCCGCGTCCTGGATTCCACTATGAGCCACTATCTACCTTTGCTTATAAAGTTTGTGACTTCAAGCAATATTGAGGCAGTCCACACAGGATGCCCATATGCCAACAAGAGACTGATCAATTGCAGTCCTAAATAAGAGTGGGAAGATACAAGTATACAACACCAAGTGAATGTCAAGAAATGTGATTTATTTTGGTTATCCATTGAGAAGTTTTTATCAACTGAAGA